TCGCCTGCACATCAGGAGGTGAATGGGGGTTCGGTGAGCTCCCGCTTATCTTCTACGGGCAGTTCACGCGACGAGCTACGCCTTGAAAATCTACCGCCTTCTCTACGATCCTCGAGTTCGGTGGGAAGATTGGATCTATATGTCCCCCCTTACGAGAGTATGCGCTCACATACCTCGTCTGTGGACAACATCACAAACGACTTCGCGGAATTGGGAGTTGCGGATCAGGGGCACCGCAGGCAAAGTCTACCGGTCTGTTTCCTACTTCAGATGACGGTGATAAATAGCTCACCATTCTCAAAGCTTCAGACGCTAGGACATTCGCCCCGCCCTTCAACGTCGATGGGCTTCTCTAGTCATCTCTCTTTGCCTAGTAACACGTCTCAAGGGCAGCATTTGAATACTTACTCTGATGGACCGGTGCCCTATACTTACGATCGGCCTGTTACACCAAATGCATCATTATCATATCCTCCGGGAGCGTCTGTGGGTCAAGAGCCATACCAGCCTCAGTATGAGTCTGCACAACTACCATCGCCGGGGCACCACTCTCCAGCTCGACACCCTGGTCCGCGTTATAGTATACCCCCGGCGTCGTCGGGGTTCATGCCTATCCCATCGCCGACGCCTGCTCCGTCTGGATTCCTGCCACTTCCGACTCAGTCCTCACAACCCTCTGGATTTGCCCCGCTCCCTGCGCAGGCACCGCCGCCTGTTGGATATGGTGCCCCATCAGTGCATCAACCCATTCAATCCTCTAGCTTTTCGTCTCTATCTCCGCCCACGGTCCCATCCGGATTCGGGAGTGCGGGAGTACCACCATCAACCTCGTACTATCAGTCAATCCCCCAGTCATCGTCGGGATATAATTATGCGCCCTACCCACCGCCTATGCAGTCCGGTTTTCCCCAGCAAGCACCACCTCAAGCATCTGTGCCACTGCAACCACATGAGATACCCATGCAGTCGTACGGACATCCGCCACCGCCACCACCTTCTGTACCACCACAATCCCACTCAGCGTCAATCGAGCATCATGCGGGTTATTCGCCGCCTCGCAATCCCATACCGCCCCCACCACCGCTTACGGAGACTCCTGCCCCCATCGCCGGCTCACGACCTCTTCCGAAGCCTCAAGCTCGCCGGCAGACATCTCTGCCTGTGCCTCCTCCAGGTCCACCAGGTCCTCCTCCCATCTACGACCCGTCAGCCGGAACTGTTGGCTTTCCATCATCCGGCTCGTACAATCAAATACCCCCGCCTCCTCCATTGCCGCAGCAGGGCGTACCCCCTCAGTCATACCCGCAACATCAATCACCTGTGCCAGGGCCTCCACCCCCGCCACCTTCGCAATATCATCAGCAGCCCCTTGCACGGCGTCCGAGCCTTCCTCCACCTCCGATCAACTTTCCCCCTCAGCAACCTCCGTATCAGTCACTACCGCCGCCTCCGGCTCCGCCAGCGCTACCGTCTCATGTGCCGCCGCCACCTGAGCATGTTCCCGCTTACCCGTCGGCGAGCAATGGCCATTCATTCTATCCTCCAGGTCCACCCCCAAGACCGCCCACGCAAATCAATCCATCGTCGTATCTACACCCGCATCCACCACCGCACGGACATCTGTCCCCTGTTGCGCATACAGGCTGGCAATAGAACCTCAAGACGAGTTCATATTTATGACCACTCACGAATTCACAAGCAAGATACCGCACCGGAATATATAGTACATATCAGGCATTCTCTCTGGACAATTGTCTCTATTTCTATTTGCTGTCCCGCCTATCTTGCGCCACATAATGTAGAGTCCTGTTCACGTACTTCCTCCCTCGCGCGGTTGAAACGTTATCTGCAATGTCATAATTACGAGAGGGGCTCCTGTGGTTGGGCTTGGCTCGTTTCAGCTTCCCGACGCGCTCGCTCCGCCTTCCACTGCGCGATCGCTGGCTCCGTAGCAACGAGACCCTGTCGCGCAAGGTCTATGCGTGCCTGCCGACGCAGGATAGTCTCTTCCTGCCTCCGCTGTGCCTCATATGCTAGCAGAGCGTTTTCGGCGGTGATGACAAGTCCGAATATAGTGACTTGTGCGGAAAAGGGATGGTGTCGGATAAGCTACTTGGGACGCAACCGATGCGCGGAGAGGCACGCACTAGTAGAGACGAGGAATCCTTTGAATGCTACGGTCTGTCGCCTAGAACACCAGTTTTAGATTTATGCAGAGTAGGCCTATGACCAAACCAGCGGAGATGCGTCTAACCGGAAGGCAGGCCAACTGTAATGACCGAGGACGGCAAGCCCGAAACCAACCGCGCCCCAGCGAGCTGCGCCGTAGACGGCGGCTCTAACTTGGATACCGTATGCCCTCTCGACGTCTTCCCTGCGACTTGCTCTATCCATGCTCGATCAAGTAAGGGTGCAAGGCACGGATAGCAGACACATAAATGGGTCGTGATGGGATCGTGGTCACCGGATGAGGGAGAGTTCCGCGTGTCTGCATTGCAGCAGCGGGTGTTGCCGCCTCATCGTCCTCTCCGCTCCTCCACCATCACTGTCGAATTCGAACTTGCTCCAATTTATCACCTTCGTCATCGTCACGCCTTCATAATTTACGACGAAGATCCAGTGGATATTCGCTCTGCTAGGTGCCAGGCTGAGCGGCTAGAGTAACGTCCCGGAGGCGGATACAAGTTCACCGATCTCAGATCCTCTCCTCATCCTCCCCGCTGCCTGCCATTACACTTGCCCTTAACCACCAACCAACAACCAACCATCATTTCTGTGTGCGAGCTCCTCGTTTCATACCTCACAGCAAACAGACGCTAGTTGGCTTTGCGGTCAGTCATGGCTGTCCCAGACAATCCCCAGAACAAGCCCGTGGCAGCGGCCCCCACGTCTCCCACCAAGCCCAAGCCACCCCAAGAGTCTTCCGGGCAGATCATCAAGTCAAAGAAGGAGGGACACGTTGCGACCCCAGCTACATATCCACCTACCTCGGAAACTAGAGGAGAGCCGCGCTCCCAGATGAAGAAGATTTCCCGCCGGTCGAGCAAACCTTTTATCAACTGGTTTCAGCGCAAGCTCGCAGGCACTGTGCGCGCAAGGCGTGTGTCTGAACCCCAAAGGCCGGGTACCCGCTCGCCGAGCGTGCAGGAAAAGCGAAGGTCGTCGGTACCTATGCCGCCGCTGCTTGCGCCACACGCAGGCAGCACAGGCTCTAGACACCAAGGCCGGGCAGCTTCTGTGGGGCCTAGCAGCAGGAAGAATGCTATATCGTTGAACGATACGGATGAAGCTGGTAGTACCACCGACGCGGCAGACTCGGAGTCGTACGACGGGCGCCGCTCGTCACTTGCTCGGGATTCGACGTGGTCTCCTGCAAGCTACTATGAGGCAGACGAGGATGCTTCTGTGCGACCACTACCTCCGAGCTCTCCTCCTTCTCCTTCACCGTCCCGCTCTTCTTCTTCGTATCTCTCTGACCCGCGCACTTTCCGGAGCATGGCTGCGAGCACGAAGCCTACCACGCTTTTGAGCGTTGACCTGACTGGTGGGATGGCTCATATTGCTCAGGCCCCTCCTACGCCTACATCGACCTCACATCGCATCCCCCCGTATATTCGCTCGCACTCTGCCGGCCCATCTGGTGGATCAATCAGTTTCTCCGCATTGCCCCCTCCTTCGCCGACGCGCGCCACGAGTTCAGGTGCCTTGCAGGCACCCCAGCATACCAGACACCACCCCCGCGACAATCCGCGGCCTGATGCAGTGCCGCGCGATGACGCGTCGGTGCTCACGCTGGCGTCGAGTGCATTCGGCATGCCAGGCGCGCGGATCGGCGTTGCGGCACTCGCAACGTCCGGACGCGCCTCCCTCGCCGACGATGCATCACATCTCAGCGCGGCACACGGCGCCAGTGATAGCACAAGTCATTTCTTATTAAGCCGTGACCGTTATGATGAGGCCGACGACGGCGAGGAGCAAGAGCAAGAGCAAGATAGGGACGAGGACGTGGGTGCTAGCGTGCGGGCACTGCGTCCGCGTAGCTCGCGCAGGAATAGTTGGGGAAGTGAGGCGAGCAAGTGGAGCGCTAGCGCGAGCGTAATCCTCGGAAGCAATGTCAGCCCGGTTGCGCGCGATCGCAGCCTTTGGACGGGCAGCTATCGAACTGGTGCATTCAGTGTCGAGAACGGGGAGGATCTGGAGGGCGAAGCGAGTGATGAAGGAGAAGACAATCCGGCGGAGTCTTTGGAGGATGATACAGGTTTGGATCACTCTGCACGGTTGGAAGATAGAGTGCAGATCGTAGATGCGACGACCCCGCCGGCTGCCCAGCCAGCGAATACTTCACCATCTGAAGAACCCGTTCACAGATTACATCATCACACCTCATTCACCTCAAGTAAGAGCCCATCCGAGACTCCAAGGGTCGTGCCGATTCCGCTAGGGGAGCCAGAGCCCATGCCAAATCCCCGCGCGAGTGTGGATGTACAAAGTATGGCAACTACAGACTATCATACGGAAGGCTATCGTACCGCAGCCTCCACTCCACTGCCTGTGTAAGCCGTTTATGCGGGATGGTACGTCTGCAGCATAGTGCATGTGCATGTGCACAACTTGACCCTTGTTTAGACCTCTCTTCGTATTACGTCCAAAGTACAGTATGTGATGGAATCCCATGCCGTCTCTGCATTCCATACCTAACTCCGATAATCCAATATTGTGTTGCAATCATGTTCCATGCCATCAAGTCATCTGTGATTATATGCAACGTTGCCATTGCCCTTATGCGTATTAGCTACGATTATCTCCCTTGTAATTATAGTGTATCCTTCGAGTCGTATGAATACCCTCCCCGTCATCGTTCATCATCTGTTATTGAGCACTCAATTTTTAGTTCAAGACCTGTGTGCGTTAGATTATTCGGCGAAGCTGCCCATTAGGGTGCGAGTCTTTTAGAGTGCATGAGTTATCTGAATGGGCACGCAACAAAATTACAAAATTAATGTCCCTAGGGAGATTCGAGCTCCCGTCTCCACGGTTCTGCACATGCATTTCACAAGCGCCACAACGTGATGATCTAACCACTAATCGATAGGGACCATACTGCGATCGGGAAGGCGAATGCCATGGATGGCGGCGTTCGAAAAGGTAACATCTGGCACACCATTCCACGCTATTCTACATATTGTAGGTCAGAAAAATCATGATCTACCAGTGCTATGTTTGAACGAGTCATGCCTAGAGTGCCACTTTCCCTGAATGACATTACATGACTTGCGACAACCACCCAACTGAGAGAAAATTGCCAGTCATCACACGTCAGCCGGGACTCACATCAGCATGAGTGCACCTCAGAGTCTGTCTTCGGTGAATATCACAATTCTCGGAAGTGCTTCCGCTCAGCCATCTTCGACAAGAAACCATTCTTCTCTTGCCCTACGCCTTGACGGAGATGTATGGTTGTTTGACTGCGGCGAAGCGACGCAGCACCAGCTCCAGAAAAGCACCGTAAAGATGGGCAAGATCCAAAAGATCTTCATTACGCATACACATGGTAGCCCTTCAGTGTACCAATCCTGTATCAACTGCATCACTCATCTTAGGACCACAGGCGATCACATATTTGGGCTCTTACCCGTCCTTGCTAGCAGATTGAATGGGGCCGGAGGGATGACCGATCCTGCTGAAGATCCACGACTGCAGCATGCGGAACAGACCCGAGTTACGGTTGGTCCTCTTCTCTCCGCATTAATAAGAATCACATTCTCAAGGAGCATCTCAGCCGCTGGAGATCTATGGACCGGCAGGCACACGTGCATACGTGCGCAACGGTCTGACCTACACCCACACCATCCTAGGAGCGCCGTACGTCGTACACGAGTTGCGCTTCCCCTCCGATCTACCAGACGACGATCTCACCTCCATGCCCCTACATGCATCCGAACTTGCGACTGGTCGCAACATTCGACAAGTTGACGGCATTTGGGTTGATATCTGGGCAAACGACCTACTCGCAGTCTCCGCTGCACCCATCTTCCACTCTGTGCCATGCGTAGGCTACGTTGTGACAGAGCTGCCGGTTCCGGGGAAGATAGAACCTGCGAAGTACATACCTGCACTGAAGCGCACAAAGACGCCTATATCGGTCATGAAGCTCCTACAACAAGGCGAGAGTGTTCAGCTGTCCGACGGCACTGTTCTCCACGGTCCAGAACGGAAGCCAGGGCGGAAGCTAGTGATTCTGGGCGACACATATGACTCCTCTCCCATTGCAGACTTGGCTAGGGAGGCAGATATCCTCGTTCATGAAGCAACGAATGCGCATCTACCAGGAGTCGACCCGAACACAAAGGACGATGACACATATGAGAGCGTGGAAGCGCGCGCCAAGTCGCGCGGACACTCGACACCTCAAATGGCTGGCGCATTCGGCAAGAATATCGGTGCGCGCAAGTTGCTCCTAAATCACTTCTCCGCACGATATCCCGGGAACGACGACCTGGATGAAGAAGCTAAGAAAATCATGCAAGCCATAGGTACTCTGGCCGCAGGCGAATTCAATGGACCAGTCATCTGCGCAAGGGACCTGATGAGCTTTGACATAGAGCCACGCAGATAGTTGAGTACCAGTAATAACATAATTGTACAACGTCCGCGGATATAGGTACAGTGCTGTGTCCGGGGCCAATCAGTCGTCCGGTGGATCAGACAACTCACTGCTCATATCGCTCGCCTCGCCCTCCTCTAACTCTTCTTCTCGTGCCTTCTTTTTCACCTTCGGCTCCTCTGCTAGCTCACCCATCTCAATGTCGTCCTCATCTGACACCCGTACAGACGGAATCGGTGCAGGAGAATTGCTTCCCGACATTGGTATTACGGGAGTAGATGTACGTGAGGTTGAAGGTACGAAGGGACGAGCTCCGGCGTTGAGCGTGTGAGCGAGCGGGATGTCGTCGGAATCTCGGTCGTTCTCTCCTTCCTCATGCTCTTCGTTGAGTTCGCCAGACTCTTCTCGTGTTCGTGCACTAGTTGACCCTTCCGCTTCCATGTCGACGTCTTCGCCCTCGACTTCGGGCGGCAGTTCTGGCGCGGGGCTCTCGGGGCGTGACAACTCAGTTGGGTCTTGTTTCCCCATGAGGCGGAGTGAGGCGAGCTCTGAGATAATGCCCTCCAAAGCGGATTTTTGCGACTGCACGACTCGATTTTGGCTTTCGTGCTCTGCGCGAATAGTAGCCATGTCGTTCTCGAGCGAGGCGATTGACCTGAGAAACCATCCACGTGTAAGCCCCGCGCCCAATCGGCTAGGCGAACAGGTGCACGACTGCATGCGTACCGCTCCAACTCCTCCCTGCTTGGGAAGGTGTTGATCTTGTCGGCGATTTGGTCATACTCGATTTTGCGCTTGCGCTGCAGCTGGGCGTGCTCTAGCGATGTCTTGAGCTCCTCAATTTGGTCTTTCAATCGAACGTGCTCGGTGGCTGCGGAGAGGCGCACGCGTAAACGTTCAAAAACCTCGCGCCAGGAGTCACCCGTACGTACCTATGCGCTCTCGCTCTCGCTGATACTCCTCTACTTGCCGCGCCTCTGCCTCACACACCATGAGACTCTTCTTGAGCGATAGATGAAACGACGCAAGCTCGACAAGGAATGCTTCGCGCGCATCTTCGACTGAGGTGAATGCAGGGAGGAGGGGCGGGATGACGGGGGTGTAAGCCACGGAGGTGTAGTTGTGAAACTTCTTGGTCACACGACGCAGGGCCTTCTCGTCATTCGTAATGCGAGTGTGGATAATGGCGTCTTCGGGTACCCGCGGAAGGTATCAATAGGTTAGTCTTTCGGAACTGACACGGGCTGCACACCTTCCTGCTGCACAGATAACGAAGGTGCGACATAGGTTGCCTCTGCCGTCGAAGCAGTGGTTGACGGCTGGTCCTCGGGCGTTACGTGCTCGGCCACGTTCGACATACTACCGGAAATGCTTGTTGGATGGACGTGGGCCGCAGAAGGTAGACGGTGAGTGTGGCCGCCACAAGAAATTGAATAGGTTCAGCTAGTCCTCCTGGTCGGCGGCGGCAGGACAAGGCAGCCAAGCGTGACACGTGCGTTACTCGGAAAATGGAAAAAATATGTCTCAACTCAGATAAGCCCTATACTATGGTTCGGGCCGAGTGCCAGCCAGGGACAGGGCGGCAAGCACGAGGTGTCACGCGGCCTGCGTCACGGCGTCGGGGTGTGACGCGCAGCCTCTGACGTCGCGCACGTTCGTGCAGAGTTGCCTAAAGGAGGTTGTACCATCTAGGCTCCGTTCCTACCAGAACTTGTCAGGCGGCTCAAGGGCGAGCTTCTGCCTCCTCACCTCTCCCAGCTCCCACCATGTCCACTCAGCCGCTCCTGCAGCGTACCGCAGCGAAACGTATCGCCCTCCCCGTCCGCGTCGAGCCCAAGGTCTCCTTTGCGAACGAGCGTACTTTCCTTTCATGGCTGCACTTCACCGTCGTTCTCGGCGGACTTGCGGTTGGTTTGCTCAACTTTGGAGATAAAGTGCGTCATTGGTCGTGTGCGAGATTACTGGCTGATATTCACCGTGTCCGAAGGTCGGGAAGATCAGTGCAGCGATGTTTTCCCTCGTCGGTGAGTACTCATCAGCCGAAGTCCTCTCTGCTCGCCATTCACAGCGGCGTTCTCGTCGGTCAGCTATGGCGGTTATGATGTACGCACTATATACATATCACTGGCGTGCAGCATCCATCCGTAAAGGAGGCCGTGGTCCCTACGATGATAGAATTGGACCGGTGAGTGCCAACGAAAAGTAATCACCGCATTTAATTCACCTGCCCTACAGACGGTCCTGTGCATTGCGCTCATGAGTATGTCTCTGATATTAATGCTAAGATTGCACCCGCTCATCATTTCACGTAGTCGCTATCATCGTCAATTTCGTCCTGCGATTCACGCAGCCAGACCTGGACCAGCCGTGATCCACGAAGCTATTACATGCCGCTATATCTATCAAGATGTACCACGCAATCTCATCCACATTCTACGCACCGTGGATCCATCAAGGCGCCACGACGAGCTAGACGAACCACTTGCACATATCTCATCGGAGGCTTGAATATACCGTCTATCCCGGTCACTGCACGCGCCTAGTTCAAAAGGACACTGTCACTTCATGTATTCCTACTTTCTAATGATAATGACATCAGTATGTTCTCGGCCTTGCACCCAATTATCCATCGACTTGCGTGTAGTGCAACGCGAGTGTTCATCACACATCTCACACTTTGGGATATCATCCCTGTGGTTATCGTAGCACGTGTAGCATTGAGTATGTCTACAATCAAGTCTCTATTGCTACCGCTGTACACCAGTAAAAACGGGGTTTTTGACCTCGTGGATCGGCGTCTTCCCCGCCGGCGTTCCCGGAATGGTCTTGGTCAGGCCCTGCGAAGTGGAGTAAACATCAGTCATGAACGACCCCCGTGTGGACAGGGAGAAAGAGCGTTAGTGTGAAGGAGGGCATACCAGCTTCTCGAACATGCAGTTGTTCAATGCACGCTCAGGCTTGCGGCACATGTAGAATTCCTGGAAATAGGGAGCAGATGCTAAGCTGCGCGAGTAGAGCCGTTATAGAAAGGGAGGACAGACGTGGTTGTTCTTCTCTAGGCACTGCCAGTGATCCTCGAAGACTTGTCCGCAGTTCTCGCGCATCTTGGTGATGCTAACATGTCAGTCGCGGCGCAATGGGAGCAAGCTTGAGTTCGCAGCATCACGGGTCTAGAAGGAGCACTCACAGGTCAATGGCGCAGCGCGTTACCCGTCTACCTTCCTTCAAACAGTGCGCTGGGTCGCGGTTCTCGGCCTTGCACAACATGAAGTCCTCTGTCACAGCGCATTCGAGCGATCAGTCCATTGCCCTCAAACTGCAACTATCCCAAAGATAGCGACGTAATTGTTATCTTCCAACAGGTAGGCCAAGGGTATTGCACAGCGAAGGATCCGAGAAACGCAGTCTGGCGGAACATACCATTGAACTCCTTGCAGTAATCGCCGATGAAGAAAGCGGCGCTCTTGAGCGGCGCACTGGTCGTACCAAGCT